CCAGACGTCGTCGCAGATGCCCAGGTCAGTTTGGTGAGCCGTCAACTATAAATTGAAACTTGCAATGAACCGCGGTCAACTTGCGGTCAACTTGCGATCAATAGTATGCACTGGCAAATGATGTAGTGAGATTGACCCGGGATTCCGTATCAGTCAGTGGTCCGCGAAATGTGGCTCAAATCTCCAGTGGACAGCATGTAAACTCGAAAGGGAAGTGCTGGCAGTGTTGCAAGGGTGCACGACCGCATTGCGACATAGTCACGTGATCGCGACAATGATCGGCGTTGAACGTTGACCATTAGTAAGCTGAAATACCCCAGACACTCCAGTCCAATGCAAGAGTATTCTATTGATTTATTTATTGTACGAGGTGTCCCGCCGACGGTGATCAATGTAAGTAGGAATGTTATAATATGGAAGTGCTCAGTGGGTGAGTCAGATGCGATGGAGATGGCGGGAAGGTTCAATGCGGGGAGAGAGAGATGATACAGCGAGGGTGAAAGGTCCTCATGTTCGTGAAGTCGACCCAGTGGCTTCGGCGCTATCGCCATCCCAACGCTGTCGAGTTTTGCCCTTCCCCTTTGTCGACTGGGGATAGTCGGCAGCAGTGGGGGAATCGAGCATCGTCATATCCTGGGGCGGGGCCTCCCAGATTCGTATCGTGTGGTCGTCTGAACACGACGCGAACATACGCTCATTGCGTGGATTCCACGCAACACAGTTGACGCTGCCCTCGCCGTGCCCCTCGAGCACCTCCAGTAATACTCCCGTATCACGGTGCCAAACATACACGTTGCCATCTGCAAGGCCAAGTAAGAATCGGATAAGAATGAGATAGGAAACTCACCCTCGCTTCCGCTGATGACAAAATTGCTTTCGAAGCCGCCGAAACAGCTTCGAATAATGTCTTGAGTCTGCCGCTGGCCTGTGTATTTGCGCGCCATTCGCCCAAGGTTGAGATCCCAAAGCTGAATGTCCTGCAACAACGTCAGGGACGGCCAAAACGTGAACAAAGAACACTAAAACTGACATCAGGAGAGCGGCTGATGAGGGCATACTGCGAGTTGTGCGAGATACACAGACTCGTCAGTTCCCCCTCGAATAGCGTTGAACTAGACAAAGAAACAATAGTCAGAGCTGGTGACAGCGAACTGATGAAGGAGAACGCACGATTCATTCCGCCTTGACGCAAAATCGTAAACAAGTAGCCGATGCTCATCTTTCGGCGGGGGGGTCGAACTAGGATTAGACGGCGCTCCATCGTTGTCTGTTCGTGGGTCCACCGGCGATGGTGCGCGCATCCCAATGGCCACCAGCCGCGAGGAATCCGGAGAGATAACCATGTGCGTTATGCGCACTGGTAACATGCCCCACACGTCTCGCCTTTGGCCATCCTTGTTCTGTTTCGAAGGCGGAGTTGAGCGAGCATGACAGTGGATACAAAACGAGACTAACCCATATGATGATCTTGAAGTCCAAGCCAGCGGACAGGAAACCTGAATCGTCTGGAAGCCAAGCAAGTGCCGAGACCGGTTCTGAATGTTCCTCCAGCGTTCTTATACATACACCCGTCTTGATTTGGTATCAGCGTGCGCTCGGAACGTAGGACTGATACACACCTTGGTATTCCACATCTTTATGTGGGTCTCTGCTCCTGCGAGTAATATGGAGTCATCCAGTGACCAAGCGAGAGACTGTACAGGGTAGGGATGATTTAATACATGGCGTTTCTCCCATTCCCGTACAGGCATTTCCGTTTCAGGCTATGGAGTTCGGTAAATTGAAACACCAAGAACAAGGCAAATAGACGCACTCCGATTCCCCATATTATAACGGTCTTATCCTTGCTCGCACTCGCCAGGAAATTACCGTCCCGACTCCAGTCCACTATCCACACTTGGTCGTTGTGGACCTCTAGTATTGTCGTGGTTACGCGGGGGAAACCCGTCTTATCGCACTGGTGGTCCGCGAAGAGCGAAAAGACGGGGGAGGTCATTGGTATGTTGTGGTACACGCATTGTTGCCGCTGGTAAGCATTTGCTTGGTGTAGTAGCGTTGAGAATCGTCGTGGGGGCAGCATTATCGACGGGGGGATGTAACCTGAAGCAGAGACGTGAATATCGATAGAGGTGGCTGATAGCACACAAACGATGGAGGTCATTTAGCAATATTCGTCTCGATTGCCCTGCTGCGCCGTCCCACTCTGCGCGTCGTCGTAAATCCTCAGGTTCCGAGCACATCATTAAGCTGCATCAGAGTCAGCACAGTTCTCTTGGGGCACTGGCGGCAACATGCCTAGAAAGTCGGTGTAGGTGATCGGAGTCGACCTCCAACGGTGCAAGCTCATTTCGAAGCACTTGTAAAGCTTCGGTAGTATGCTGCGCCTCCAACAGTTCCAGATATTTCTGCTGGCTTATCAGAAATCGCGCGTCCTTCGAGTAGCATTAGACATCAGCACGCCTCGGGAGTTCAGACACGGACCCAAAGCTCCTCGCGATCCCGCACGCCCAGACGTGGTAGTGCATCCTCCGCTTTGGACCACCGTGCCTCCAGAATAAACCGCCTGAAGTCCGCGACGTCTGGCGTTTCCATCGCGTACCCCGATTCTGCTTCCAGGGTTGCTGCACTCTCACTATCCGCGAGCACCTTTGATAAGCGTATCCAATGGAAGGAACCTGAGAAACGCACACATAGCCAACATCCCGGAGGCTCTGTATGACTAGCCTGATATACTCTTCTCGGTCGACGTCCGAGTCGTCATATAGACTTGAGCCGGGCAGCGTCACGCGCGCGACTGAGAGTGAATGCGAAGCAGCGGACGATTGTTTCGAGTGCCCATTCTGTTTCTGCACTCCATTACCCGCCGCATTGCCAACGAATGCACCATTGGTGGAGGCTGCGAAGCCATTCCCATTCAGATGAACGTTCGAAGGTCCAGGGTGATCGCGACCGAGCGACGACGGGCCCGCTATGGCGTCCAGGGAAGCGGGGGATTCGTCTGCTTGCTCCGATTCTGGAAAGCGCATGGTAGCGTAGGTTTGTGAGGAAGAGAGATCGATCGGGGGTGCGCTAGCGGGGGAACTTTGACTGCCGACACGCTGACGCTTGCGCGGTCGAGAGGGTTCGGGCTCTATGTTCAGTCAGAGTGCTGTGTTAGTCAGGGTATTACTTGGGAAGTTAGGCTACACGGTACCGGAGACTACTGGGTCGGAAGCGGGGAAGGTGCTGGAATAGTCGAGCTCTGACCTGGGGCGGGTTGCAGGAATGAGAGATGCCGGGGAAGGCTCCGTGTCCCGCGCAGGACGGTGGCTACGAGGATCAATGGTGACTAGGAGATGTGCAGGCTAAATGGGAGTGGAAGGAAGACAAAGGTCCGGAAAGACCGTGCATAAAGGTCACCTCGACTAACATCAATTCCTCGTGCTCCTCGATACGACACAATAGACAACTTCAATTATCCACATCTAATGGACTACACAATTATTCCTGAGTATGTATGGGCTTTCTGCTAACCAGGCAGCAAGTCACAGCAAGTCATCATTGCGGCCCCTCGGACCGCATCACTACTGTTATCATGCACCCGAGGGCGAGGCTACATACCGACCGAGTACAAGGGGCGTGCACGAAGATGCCAAGTGATCGTACAGCTGAAGAAACATGGCTTGGGTGCAGGTCTAGCAGAAGTGTTCAAGCAGAATTGAGCTGGGACTCGAGAGATTACGTCAGGATATGTTGTCAGTCCGATGCCAGCCAGCAGGGTCAGCGACAGGCGTTGGGCCCGGAAGGCGACTAACTGGAACCCCTAGCCCTTGGCCGAGAAGAATCGATGTAAAACTTGATGTTCAGTGGGTCAGGAAATAGATCTGGTGTCCACGGGTTGCAGAAGTTGCAGCGAGGACAGTCGAAGCGAGTTACACCTCGTTCAGTGGACTCGATGGCTGTTCAAATTCAGCAAGTCTTGACATGGTTGGACGAGATGCCACCCAGAGGATGGAGGTCCGAAAAGCTGACGATGATGGTTGAAGCGAAGAATGAACTGGTGGCTGTGCCGGACCTTGCACCTCATCAAATGGCGTCAAACGACCTTTTCTGCGTCTTCTCGACTGGCACGAAATCTCAGCAGGAAAAAAATTACCGTTCATTGGGCGTGGAGAATTTGACAAAAAACCACCAAGCCGGACCCAACCGGACTCATGTTTACAGCTCCAATGAAGCATACTTAAGACTCAACTTGAAGTATGACCCCGGACCGGCCCGGTTGAATAAGTTCTATCCTGTTCCAATAGGGTGTTTCACGGCTGGCTTTTTCGGCCCAACTCGTGCCCCAACTCGTGCCCCAACTCGACCTCAACTCCGACGAAGTTGAGGCACAAGTTGGAGCCTCAGCCGTGAAACACCTGAGCCACGTTTTTGGCCTCGGCTCCAGAGCAGCGGCCGAATTGATGTCGCTTATGCCTGAAATCCGAAGTTGGGGCATCAAGTTGGGGCAGAGTTGGGGCAGAGTTGGGGCACAAATCGGATGTCGAGTCGAGGGGTCATGCACAACTCGACATCCAACTCCGATTTCATGCCCCAACTTGTGCCCCAACTTGCCTCGAGTTGAGGCACGAGTTGCGGCAGGAGTTGGGGCAGAAAAGCCAGCCGTGAAACACCCTAATGCTGTTCTATGTATCTCTGGGCGTGTATAGTGGTCGTGGGTTCAGTACGTTCTAGACTGTTTCCGGTTGTTTGAGTTTGAATCTAGATAGTGAAGTCCCCATTGGCAGGCCCCGGCTTGCTCGACTTACAACTAGATGGGATGGCCTGGGTCCAGCGGCTCCAGCCCCTTCCCGGGCCCCCTACTTTTCGCTATACCTTTCTTTCCATGCAAAATTGAATTAGGACATTCTCCTCAATTGATTATTCACAACTGTTTCTGCACTTTTGTGGTACCTAGTTCATAGTGTTTTGCCATTCAAGAAGAATTTGAAGGAGCAAAAGGGTGAAGAAGCAAAAGAACGGGGCCCAACCGGGAATTGAACCCGGGACCACACACAGCTTACGTAAGCAAGCGGGAGACCCCGAAGCGTGTATCATACTTCTAGACCATTGGGCCGATGCAACCTGCAAGATTTACAGCATTCTCATTGATTGGGCAATTGAGAGCCCGTCGCAATGCATGATTGCATCACCAAGTTCGGACCGAACTGATGTTCTCCAAAAGGGCGAAGAGGGGGGACGGGGCTTAGAATGCCCATGGTTTTGGCGCAACGTCATGGAGATACAAGGAACACCAGGCGGAATCATAGATCATGAATTGGACAAGACCCCCGAGCCCATGTTTCAGAGCGAGCAGTATTGGAGAGGTCCGAGGAGGATCGCAAGCTGCAAAGGCATAGACGGACTTCTGGACCTCTGGTATCTGGTTAGATAGGAGAAACACATAAAGATATGCGGTCCCGGGTGAGCAGTATTGGAGGATGATCGCAGGCTGCAGAGGCAGATTCGTTCTGGACCCCCTCTTATATTTGGTTGGATAGAAGAAACCTATATAAGTATGCGGTCCCGGACAGTATTGGAGGATGATCGCAAGCTGTAGAGGCAGACAGAGATCTAGACCCCCTCTGGTATTTGGTTTAGAAGAGACCCATAGAAATATGCGGTCGTCGGAAGAAGCACTGGCACGTAGCATAGCAAACGGAACTCGATATTCTTCATCCGGAAACGAGGGTACAAGGTTAAACATGACGCATTGTGACCTTTGGTAGGGACACAAGCTGGGCTAGTATTTGTCCGACGGCTTCCGACGGTCGCTTCCAGGGGATTTATCGGGCTGGAACGTAATGGCGTTGCGCGACTCGGAGCCGCCCACTTGGAGCAGCGTCGCATCGGATGAGATTGTATCGTGCAGAATCCAGATTCCCGGCTTCAGCACAGAACTGCAAGGGGGGATATTGAAGCTTGAAGCTTGAAGATTGTCAAGGCTATGAGAGTGCAAGCTGTAGTGGGCGAAAAGAGACATGTGGACTTGTCCGATGTCGTGGTTGAGGTTACTGTGGTGGACGATCAGATCAGCGGAGTTCGAATTGTAGTTTGGCTTGCTTCAGCCTGCACCGTGACCCGTCCGTCCCGCCGGCGGCTCCTGGCATGTCTGCAATGCAGCATCCGTGCCTATCCGTGCGCTGACGCTTCTGCCGCGCGATCTCTACCTCAGGCTCTATACGGCCAGCATGTCGTCCGCCAGATCGCATCAACCCCCACGGTCTCCCCGTCTCCGAAGTCCTGATATCTTTTGTGGGCCGCAGCACTAAGCAAGGGGAGAATCAGCCAAGATGCCTTATTTTTTGGGGATCAACGCGCGTCAAACACTTTCGAATCCCATGGCCAGTCGTCGCAAGTCGAACAATCTGCCAAGCTGCGTGACACGCACATGCATACGTTGAAATCGAGATGGAAGGAAGCTGGACAGCTGGACATGGGCTCTGCGATTTTTTTGTTGAGATCTCAGGCCCCCTTCGAGTCACAGGAATGCGTCGGATGGCCAGTTTCCGGCCCACATCCAACCCACGTCCGCCCGGGACATCAATTCCGGGCCGTTCGCACTCCCACGGCGCATCGTTGATATTCTCTTTCTTGGCCTGAACTCGAGTCGCTGGTTCAAGTTGTCCGAGTCGGAGTGCGCAGAGCGGGTGTTGGTTGTTCAAGTTGGTGCCACCACCCACCCCGGGGTCCGCTCGGCATGACGGGATCCAGTACGCAATGCGCTCCCGCTATGCACCCGTCGCCAGGTTGATATTTTCTGTCGCTCGAGGTACGTATGATCTCCGGCATCCCCAGCTCTATATACATACCTCCCCCGGCGGCTGAGGTTCTTCTTGACAGTGAGACAGTGAGACATTACGGACGCGCTCCGGGATCCGCCCCAAATCCGCCCCGGTCCGACAACGTTTCTCGCCGACATTCTGCAGCTCGGGCTCGATACGCGTGCGGTTCTCGTCCAGTCGGCGCTGCCTCGGCGGCGGGCTCGCACGACGCGCTTCCCTACCCACCCACCCGGCGACTCAACGCACCCCCGGACCCCTCTTCATTCACTTCCTGCCACCACGCCTTCGCACCCCACGTCCCACTCGCGCGACCCAGGCTGTCCTCGGCGGCGGCGGCGGACATTCCCCGGCGACGACACCGCCGCCAATTGCAAATACACTGTGTCGTGTGCGCGGCATTATTATTGTATCATCGACATATCTCGACGCGTCATAGCTGGGCTCATCGCGCGGCGATTTGTGTCACCGCGCGCAGGCGCGTGACCGCTTCGAGGCCGTCGCCCGCACCGTGTACTGTGTACATATTCGGCGCCGGCCCACCGAGAGCGCTCGACGACGTCGAGTGGCTGCGCCATGTCCTGTCCGGCCGGCTCTACGCCACCAGCGCTCCACCGCTGTCCGACGTGTCCACGACGAGGCCTATCAGGCCACAGGGCGCGCTGCCACCTCGCCCCGCTGGTCACGACGACCCCCGCCATCATTGCGTGCCTGACGCTGTTCCACTCGCAATCCTGCTAGCTATCTATGGAATCTGGATGCGAAACGAAACGAAACGCAGCGACGACGGTCACAGTGCCCTCCCCCCCTTCTCCCTGAATTTATGGCATCTATGGCCGCGAGCTGGCTGGGTCGTGGATCGGAATATCGGTCGACCACAACAAACGCGGAGCCGGTCCGGGGATCCTAGATCCTATCTAATATGTACCGCCCTTCGAACTTTGAACTGGCCAAGCGCCCGGATACGAGTATGGATACCGACAAGTTGAACAGCGAACGCCGAGCGCTGTCGTGCTTCGGATCCGTCTCGAACCTAGTGCCTGTCTGCCCAACCTCGCCCCAGTCCAATGCACCCCTTTAACGGACACCGCGTTTTCGCTCTCGTTATTCAGGCTGCAAGTCGCGTGCGATCGAACACCAATCACATAATTCTGGGTTGAACCACGCCTGTGCAACATTTCATCCTGGTGGCGTACGCACTTCTGCACGACACACGAATTGTGGGGCCGTGGCAAGCATGCGGGATCCCAGTACAAAGTTGTAACTGCCCTCGCCAGCATGTCGATCGCACGCGGAACTGTGGACATGCAACGCATTGACAGATTTTCCATAACTTGACAACGCTCGCGCAACAAGCCTTCAATTCACGCAACATCACACCTAGCAGCACGGCCGAGCACGAAACCGCGTGGCCGTCGTGGCTCTACGCAAGTAATGACGCGCCAGGAACCGCGACCCAGGCAAATCTTGGCGCAATCGGGAACCTAATCCTAATCCCAAGAAGTCGACAATCAGTGGCAATAATACGACATCGGGCCCACAAGCGCCCGCAGCGCAGCACGAGTACGAAAGACCGTCCGCGTCCGCGCCGCTCGCGCGCCCACGTACGCAGAAAAACGAGAGCGCGCCGGGATGCGGATTCAATATACAACATTCAGGACGCCGACACACACACACTGGGCTAGCGGAATTCGCGGACCAGCTCGGGGGCCGGACCGACTCCTGGACGTTGGACCCTCTAATGTCGCCATTCCTCCTGGACCGATCATATATGCATCACCCGCCACCCCTCCTTTTTTCATTCCGAGAGGCCCGGAATAAATTCGATGGTGCGTGTAGCGGCCCCGGGCCACGCCCCTCTGTGTGTCCGCAACACGCTAGTGGCACATAATCGTGGTGTCCGCAACACACACTAGTGGGACTGTGGAGAAGCTGCGAATCGGAAAAGTTCAAACCTGCGGTGGCGTGCCAACACACACGGAATCTTGTCTGTTCAGTCGCGGCAACATGTATGCAAGTGTATGTGTATCATGTGGACGTAGCCCCCGCGCTCGTCGGCGTCCCTCGCGCCCACACGTATCGCAAACCTACAGAACACAATAAAATAAAACAATCGCGCAAGTGATAGTCAGCACCGCACATCAGATCCGCCTGCCACGTAAACGCAGCGCCGCGACTCTATATCACTACTTATCAGTAGCCCACCGTCCCGACTTCCGAGCCACAGCGGGCGGGCGAGAGCGACGCCACGTGCGCGCCCGACGCGCGCGTATGATGACCGGGCGGACGCAGGCAGCGCGGGTACGACGGCGATACGGGGACGCAGTGCGGGGAGGGGAAGCCTGGGGACGCGCGAAGTCTAGCCCATATCGGGCGCAAACACTTCCTTATCTGGGCGAGATCCGCGAATCAGCGCGTTTGGCAGCTGCCCGGGACTCGGGAGGCGCCGGCGGGTGATCTTGGGCGCGGGGGGAAGCGGGGGGAAGGGGGCGGAAGGGCGGTCGCACGTTCGAACGCCGCGACCGCGACGGTCGTTTCGCCGGGGCGGGTTCCGAGTCTGAGTCAGTGAGAGGCCGGGAAGGAGACCGGGCGGGCGGGGGAATGGAGGGAGATCCAGCCAGCGATTCGGAGGGAAGGGGAAAATAAAAACATAGACATACATAGCGCACTCTAACAGCCTTCGGACTCGGAGGAATGGAGAGTTGTCGGCCGAGACACGTTCTCCGTAATTCAATTGGGCGGACACCGCGAAGAAAACCGACTCGGAAGAGATGGGATGGCGAAGCAGGAACGTTCCGACCGTTCGGCCTGCCATGATTTCGCGCGCGTTTCGCGTACCTGCACAGTCCGCCAGACAAGCAGAACAAGAGAACAAGGCCGCGAAAACCAAAACAACCAAAAAACAAAAGCAAAAACAAAACAAAAACACAACGCCAACAACAACTAGGGGCCCACCCATCGCCCGAGCCAGCCGACGTTCAATATTATCGGCAGCAGACCCGACGCGTTTTCTCTTTTCAATACGAATTCTACTGTACTGTATTAACCGCCGGAATCAAAAAAAAACATAAGCTGAGCAGATAGGGGCTACTCATTAACGATAGGGGCCACTGGCGCGGCAGGGCACCGTGGCAGCAGACACGATACGAGGGGCGGGCCGCGGCCGGGGTATACTTGGGAGCGAAAAAGAGCGAGCGAGAAACGTTCCACGGCGGCGACGAATGTGCCTTTGGGGGGACGTGCAGCTGCGCAGAGTCACGGTCGCACGCAGCCAGAGGTGAGCACGGAAAATCTG